CGCCATCTTGGATTTAGAAATAAGTGCCATATTCGAAACCTAAAACCGAAAATGCCATAAGCAAACATTAAAGAAAATAACTGTTAAAATAGATTAAAAAATCGCTTAAGAATGCTCCCCTTTTAAGAAAATAAAATATTTTAATATAAAATATTTCGCTTGAGTTACGAAAAGAAAGACATATAATAAGCTATCAAAGTTGTACTGGTGGTGCCAACACTATAGTAGAAACAAATATATACTGTAAATTTGTTGCAATATGTGCTCCAATTCAAATAAAATTAATATAAATAATTATTCAATAAAGCATGAACGCAGAGCCGTTAAAAGTATTATAAAATAATTAAGTGTCCCAATCACTTACAGGAGTTAACGAAAACATTTAATGTTTATTCGAGTAAATATTAGTTCAAAATGCGCAAATAAATCGAAATTACAGGCACCACTAAAATTTACGTAATATAATTATTTTGATACAGAATAGCAAAATGGGGAGAAAAAAAATTCGTTACTTTGCAACACTTTCGTGTCTTGTTGCCGCGAAATTATTTTTCTGTTTTAGTGAATATTTACATAAAAATATGAGTTGAAACGCATTACTTACTTGTGGAGTGCGATGTTAGTGTCTATTTTGTTTGTCTGTTGTATTTTTACACCCATTTACCGCACATTTCGTCATTTTTAGCAAAAAATTTTGGAGCTGTTCGCGGTGCAATATGACCTTGAGCACTAACAGCCCGCGCGCTCCTGGGACGCGTTTGGAACCCTCTAACTTGCCTCACTTAGCGTGTGCGGGCTAGGTTTCTATGCGTTATTATTCTAAGTCACGAGCACAATTCGTATAAAACTGCATTTTGGCAAATCCTGTCTTCGCTCGCGTTAGCAACCGTGCAGGCGCATTAGGAGCAAAAATAATACTGCAAAGGTAAATGACGTCGGCAACTACTGCATTGTGCATGTACATTTTAAATACTGGGCTAGTTCAACCCTAGAACATTCAGTCTGTAAAAGCTTCAAATACTGCTAATATGACATTGTTTACTACTGACTGTAAAATATTTTAATGCAACTAGCGTGTAATGTAAACGAGTTTTACGTAACTCATGTCCAATGTTTACGCTCAAGGGATGGGGGCGTAAACTTTAACATCACTGGTCAGTGTACCTAATAACCTTGTATTTATAAACACTGGAATTATTTCGAAATTGTAAAATTATGTGCACTTGATATTATGTAATAGGTATATATAATTATGTGCGATTAGTTTACCTTACACATAAAACATTGTATTCTCTTAAACAGGCATAACAGAATAGCTACACATGTTTGAGCCCGAACTAATTTAATTACTTTTAAAATAGGATAAATTTCTAAAATATTAGTTAAATCTAATTTTTTAATAGTTAATACTATTACAGGCAAATCCTTTTACCACTATGGCATGCATTATAATATTTATAATATATGCCATTGACATCGTGTCAATGGCAATATATTATGAATATTCTAAGAAAAAGAAGTTATACGTACATTTGACAGAAAACCTAACCACGTGTGGTCGAAATAGAATAGAATGGAAATTGTTGGATATCATTAAATCTATCCATAACAGAACATTTGGTCATTATTTATGTTATGATAAAAGTTTGTGGGCTAATGTGTAATTGAAGTATCCAGTACACAATTTAGTTTCGTGATATTAACAATTTCAAAAGTTTAATTTAATTTGTTATGAAACGTGTAAAATGCAACAAAAATTTTAATGTAACTTGACTCAAGCAACTAAATCACCTCACCTTTGATAGGACCGAGTCCGGGGATACAACCCTCGCGTGCAGCGCCACTATTACACCGGCTGTACAACGCGAAATGATTGTGATTTTACGTACCGAAAATAATCATACGGATTATTATATTGACTTGTACAAATTTCCACAAGCTTGTCGTGTGAACACGCCAACCGCCTAAATTACACTGTGGCAAATTTTCTTTCCTGATTTTGGTACTAAACAAAAAATATTTAACAATGAAACTCGACATTGACACGACTTACCCGAAGCAAGTTCCAAGGACAAAGCCATTCGCATAATCGGTAATCGGGTTTAATTTGGCAATAAATAGTTCAGGTAAGTATATTTATGGTTATTTTCTACTTTGAAAATTTTAATTAATTGTTAATTAAGGGATTAAAGGGATGACGTTCGATTAGACAAAATTGTTAGCAAATAGAATTTTACCAAATTATAATGTTGTATCGATATCGAGGTTTTATTATTATTTACATCACTATAGACGCACTGGACAGTTCGGAGAAGGGCCTTATTTGGCAGTAATTGAGAGATCGAGAGTAGACCCCCAGATTCGGAGACAACTTCATTTTTTAAACTTGTTCTCTTTTGAATTCTCTCGGAAAGCACTTGAGCCAAAGGACATTAAAGAAAACTATTCTAATGTAGCTATATTTTTTACATTTGAAATAGAACATTTTCATTCACATTTAAATATAATAATAATTGCATTAAGTCGTATAGTTCATC